TCTCAGTGAGAACGCAGTGAAGGAGAGGGACTCGCAGAGCACCCAGGGGTGGGAGGGAAGCCAGGCTTTCTACTCCAGGCCTCCCAGGTTCAACAAAGGGAAACCTAGGGGCTATTGATACTAGAGGCCTGGTGCATGGATTTGTGCACAAGTGGGGTTCCTCAGCCTGGCCTGCACCCTCTTGTAATCAACAACCCCTCGGGGGATGTTGAATCCCCACAGGCCAGGGATCAGCTGAAATCTGGCAGTCCGACATCCCCCTGAGGAACATAGCAGTGCTGAAGCAGCAGACAGCCGGGGAGGAGCCACAGCTGGGGCGGGCACAGCTCCACTGCCACTCATCCCGGTCCCCATTGTGCCTGGCAAGACCACAGAGGCAGGAGAGGCTCCCAGCCACAGCTGCACTCACCAGCTATGAGCCCAGCTTCTGGCTAAGCTCCTGTGTTGAGCATCTGCCCCCTGGTGGTCAGTGCATGTCATAGCAATCGTCATTCTGGTCATTTGGTCATACAGTGGCTTGGGTTATATATATATATATTAAATCTCAATTTCCCTTTTTCCTTCAAATGGGATACTAATGTATGTACTTTTTTTTTCTTTTAAAATATATTTTTATTGATTTTTTAGAGAAAGGAGGGAGAGAGATAGAAATACAATAATGGGAATCATGGATCGGCTGCCTCCTGCACACCTTACTGGGGATTGAGCCCACACCCTGGGCTTGTGCCCTGACTGGAATCAAACCCAGCCTCCTGGATCATAGGTTGATACTCAAGCACTGAGCCAGGCTGGCAGAGCACTTTATGCACTTTTTAAAAAACATTTTTATTTTTTTGGCATTATTTTAAAATCTTTATTTCTCTATAAATTTGAAACATATATAATTTGTCTTCCAGATTATCTCTGTCAACAATTTTATCAAATGATTAAGTGCCACATTAAAAATACTTATTTAAAAAGAGACTTTTGGCCGAAACCGGTTTGGCGCAGTGGTAGAGCATCGGTCTGCGGACTGAAGGGTCCCGGGTTCGATTCCGGTCAGGGGCATGTACATTGGTTCGATTCCAACTGGAGATGTGCAGGAGGCAGCTGGTCGATGTTTCTTATCTATGTTTCTAGCTCTATCTCTCTCCATTCCTCTCTGTAAAAAAATCAATAAAATATTTTTTTAAAATCTAAATTATATATATAAAAAAAGAGGCTTTTGATATACCTTAGGGAGATTAGAAGCTACAGTTCTAATTTTTCCTACTCCTTTTTAAAAAGAGGATATATAAATGTATATTTTTCTTTTTTGTGTTTTCTGCTTTCCTAAAGACATAGTCTTTTCCTTTTAACCACAATTCATAGGTAGTGACTAGAGAGACCCCAGGTCCTTATATGGCAAGTATTTATTTAACATTTTTACCAGAAAAAAAAAGTTTTTTAGATTGAGGTTGCTTTTAATTTTAAGAGAAAATAAGGCTACTTTGCTTAGCCTCAGCCTTCCAGAAATAGATCCTAAGATTCTTTTTATATAAATACACAAGCAGCCCTTGATCATACGCTTGTTGTGATAAAATAGCACAGAAGTAGCTCTAAATAGTAACATAGGTGAATAAGTCCTCTTTTATTCCCTTCCCAGAAGGAACCATGGTTCACCCTTAATATCTAAACCCCTTCCATTGCAGTTACAAATACACATCTATATATTTATATGCCTTTTGTTTTAAACAAATGGGATTCTACTTTCCTGCCCGTCTTAATATATCTTTGAGATCTCTCCATGCTAGTCCATATAGTTGTATCTCATTCTTTTTATTTTTTTTATATTTATTTATTTATTTATTTTAAGAACCAAAATAAATTTATTTACAAAATTTCTTACTTGACCAGTGAAGAACCAAGAAAAAATATACCAAGAAACAGTCAACTATGACCCCACAAATAGTCTTTGACCCACTTCATAAAACACAACAACCAGAGCAGCTCCTGATAATTAGGCTTGAAAAAAGTCCTTCTACATTTCCTTCAATGAATAAGAACATACATTAACCACAGGATCTGTATAAGTAACATCATGTACTTGTAGACTCACTTGAGTCACAGTTTCTAGTGTGTTTTTCCCTTTCTACCTTACATAGATGTTTCACCAGGTTTGTTGATTCCTTCATTGGCTTCATTTTCCTTTTCTTCTCCTTTGCTGGTTTTCTCTTTTTCTCCTCTGTTGGCTCCTTTCTCTCCTTCTTTGTCTTGAACACTGGTATAAAGTACTTTGTTATGGCTTTCTCTGTTCCGAGCAATTTCAATGGCAAAAAATTGTATTCTGGGGGCTCTTTAGCTTATATTGATTTAAGTTCTTCTGAATCCAATACATCTATCCTGAGTTTCTCAAATTTTTTCCGAAATTCAGTATAGATTTGGTCATCCACTTTGGTGAGTTTCAGGAACTGTGGGTCAACTGATGAAATCAACTTGTAGTAGACTTCAGCATGCTGCATTGCTCTCATGGCCCATGCCATCTCAATATCAGGGTCGTTGCCGTAAGACTCGGCGGGGAGAGAAAGAGCATGTGCCACGGATACCAGTTCCCCAGAAACCAGCTCTTCAGTTTCACCAGTCGCCTCCATGTTGCAGCTAACATCTCTCATTCTTTTTAATAGCTGCACAACATGAATGCAACTATAATTTATGGTAATTTTTTATTTTTATTTTATTTTTGTTAATCCTCATCCCAGGATATTTTTTCCATGGAGTTTTAGAGAGAGCTGAAGGGAGGGAGAGAAAAAGAGAAAGAGAAGCATTGATGTGAGAGACACATTGATTTGTTGACTCCCACATGCACTGCAACAGGACCAGGAATGAACCTGCAACTGGGGTATGTGCCCTTGACCAGGAATCAAACCTGAGACCCTCTGGCTTGCAGGATGACACTCTAGCCCAGTGGTTCTCCACCTTTCTAATGCCAGGACCCTTTAATACAGTCCCTCACGTTGTGGTGACTCCCAACCATAAAATTATTTTTGTTGCTACTTCATAACTAACTTTGCTACTGTTAATGAGTCTTAATGTAAATATCTGTGTTTTCCGATGGTCTTAGGCTCTACTGTAGCGGTTCTCAACCGGTGGGTTGTGACCCACCGATTGAGAACCGCTAGCCAGGTTGCCACGGAGCAACACCAGCCAGAGCCTTCGTAATTTTTAAAATGTTACAAATGGTCCTGCAGTAAAAAAATCTTAGTGCTTACATGAAGGCTAAGTTCTTGGATGTGGACTAGCAAGTAAAGGGGTTAATACATTTGTTATTCCCAGAAAAAGATAAGCTGGGGTCCCGGTAACTCTAGTCCTGGTGCCCTGAGAACAAAAATCCAGTGAGTATGTGAGTGGGAAGTGGCTGTGAAAACCCCTCTTGGTGGTTCACCATTGAGTAGCATATTAAAAGTTCTGGAGGTTCTTCAGTAACCACTCACTGTGAGTGGGTTAAAAAGACTTGTTTGCAAAGGGAAAGACACTCATTCTTTGTACACATCTATGAAAATTTCCCTGAATGGTTTGGTAAGTGCCACCCGGTGGTAATCTCCCAAAGATCGGACAGCGTTCAGATAGGAACTTGGCCACATACTGTCCCAAGCTGGGCAACCGGGTGGAGTCAGGTTTGGATTTTGTCCAAGAACTAGGCTAGGCCTGTCACCTCCTCCCAACTCGATCCCGTCAGGTGAGAGGGGCTTCCCCTGGGGAGGGGAGAGTTTCACTCTGGCCTGTCTGAGAGATGAAATCGGGCCCAGCAGACACGCTGCATCACAGGAGTGTGGATCCAGAATCCCTAGAGAAGGAGCCACGGGGGTATAGAAAGGCAGCCTGCCGAAACCGGTTTGGCTCAGTGGTAGAGCATCGGTCTGTGGACTGAAAGATCTCAGATTCGATTCCGGTCAACGTTGGTTGCGGGCACATCCCCGGTAGGGGTTGTGCAAGAGGCAGCTGGTCGATGTTTCTCTCTCATCGACGTTTCTAGCTATCTCTCTCCCTTCCTCTCTGTAAAAAATCAATAAAATATATTAAGAAAGAAAGAAAGAAAGAAAGAAAGAAAGAAAGAAAGAAAGAAAGAAAGAAAGAAAGAAAGAAAGAAAGAAAAAAAGAAAGAAAGAAAGAAAGAAAGATGAAAGAAAGGCAGCCTTCCTTTCATCCCAACCCATCTTCTCCAATTGGTGGAATCACGGTTAACTTCCAAGGCTCCTGCAGAAGTCACCGTGAAGCCTCTCCCTGACCCCCAGCCCCCCCTGTGTACTCCGGAAGCACCTTTGCTGGAGGTGCCTTTGCAGCAGTCAGCACTCTGTTCCTCCACTCATTGGGCTGGTCAAGAGGAAGGGCCACGCAATGAACTCCACAGTTTTCCCAACAAACGGAGCTCCTCATAGCAGGCTACTGTCCAGGCTCCCCTTCCCTCATTCACTCATTCATCCAATCAGTAATCACTATTAGGGGACCTTCCAAGTGTGTTGGCAATAGCTAGACCACTCAAAATACTGGTGAATAAGACCGACGCAAACCCCTAACCTCATTCATTTTATATTTCCCGTAGCCCAGTCCGTGCCTAGCCCAAAGGGTTTAGGAATGACAGTGTAATTGGAAAGCTGCTTTAGCATAGCAAGCACTTTTAACTTACCTTGTCTGGTGCAGATTAAAAGCCATTTTCTCCAGATTTTCGCCTGGTCCACAATTTACATAACAGTCACTTGACCGTACGAGGTATTTTAAAAACACTTGGGGTGCCTTTGGGGTCCTGATAGAGTATGGGGTTACTAATTTCCAGACAAGCCCAGGGCCCACCACCTGGTTGAAACAGGACCGGGGAAGGGCTGGCCCGGCGGCCCCGCCCCCCGCCCCCCGCTCAGGCCGAGACCCCGCCTCCCAGGTGCCGCGGCCACACCCCCAGGCTCCGGGCCCCGCCCCCGGCGCGCGGCCACGCCCCCTCTCCATAGTTACGGCGCTGCGGAGGCGGCGGCCATCTTGGCGCCGGAGCGATGAGCGGGTCGAACCCGAAAGCGGCAGGCGCGGGCTCGACGGCCGGGCCCCGGGGGCTGGTGGCTGGCAAGGAGGAGAAGAAGAAGGCGGGCGGCGGCGTCCTGAACCGGCTCAAGGCGCGGCGGCAGGCGCCCCACCACGCGGCCGACGACGGCCTCGGGGCAGTGGTTACGGAGCAGGAGCTGCTGGCCCTGGACGCCATCCGGCCCGAGCACGTCCTGCGCCTCGGCCGGGTCACGGAGAGTGAGTGCGGGCGCCGCGCCCTCCCCTCGCGCCCGCGCGGAGCCCGCTCGCCCGCCCCTCCGGTGGCTGGAAGGGTCCCCGGGCTTAACTGCCTCCCGGTCCGGCCCCACCGGCCGCCCTGCCGCCCCCTCAGGCCGGCCGTTCCCTCCTCAGCGGGACTCGGCTGGTGGCGCCCCTTCCTTCCCCGGGTCCGCGAGACCCCGGTACGCGGGCCCCTGCCCCTCCGGCTGGAAGCCCCCGCCTCCGCGACGCTCCCGCCCCCCAGCCCCCGGCCCCCAGCCCCCGACCCCCGGCCTCCCAGCCCCCCGGTCCCCGGCCCCCCGGCCCCCTGGCCCCCCAACCCCCGGCCCCCGGCCCCCGGCCCCCCGTCCGTCTGCGCCGCCCCCGCCCGGCCCTGCCGGTTCCCTCCACCCTTCCCAGCCGCCCGGCCCCTCGCCTCCCGCTTTGTGTGCAGGTGGCTCTGCCTCCTTCAAACGCGCGGCCGTGGCATTTCATGCAAATTTTAAATAGTGCCACATTAAAAAAAAACAAAACAAAAAAACTTTCAGTGTATGTGCGAAATCTGAAATGTGAATCCTGCTTTTGACACTTGTTGGAGTAAATTAAAGAAGTGTGGCAGGGTTTCAGAGCTGCCTTTCTGGCATAAAATGCAGCCACCCTACACCTTTTCATTGATAAAAGGGAGGTGGGGAGAGATACTGCCCAAACCCAAACCTGGATCGCCACCGTTTTTCTTTATTTTATTTTATTTTATTTTATTTTATTTTATTTTATTTTATTTTATTGATTTTTTTACGGAGAGGAAGGGAGAGAGATAGAGAGCCAGAAACATCGATGAGAGAGAAACCCGCAACCAATGTACATGCCCCCGACCGGAATCGAACCCGGGACCCCTCAGTCCGCCCGACGCTCCACCACTGAGCCAAACCGGTTTCGTCTCGCCTCCGTTTTTCTTCCAAGCCAAGCCCTCACTGGACGTCCTTTCTCTTGCTGTTCTTCTCCCCACCCCCTCCCGGTCCTGTCCCATCCCCTCCCCTCCCCCCCAAGAATTTACAGTCGCCTGGTCAGGCCCGGCTTGCCGGCCCATCCCCCTGCCGCCCCAGCTCTCCCTGATGGGCCTCGGGCTGACTGTTATCTGAATTGCTTTACTGAGCCTCGGGCCGCTCAGGCACCTGGGGAGCAGGCGGCTGCTCCGGTGATTTGGGGATGGGAGTCCGGGTGGGTGGCCTTGGCCCAGACTCTGTAAGGGGATTCCCATTTCCTAAGCGTTTCTGTTTGATTGTGGATAGTTGATGCCCCCATGCTTCATCACTGACTGGGACTGTCCTTTGTGTATCTGAGTGTATCTTAGAAGGTCTGCTCACGTTCTTTGAAACCTTGTGAGAAAGCTGCTTCGGTCTGACCCAGTTTTATTTGGATCGAAGGTACAGAAGTGCTCATCTTTCTAACCTCGTGCTTTCTCCTGAGGTCAAGGGTGAAATAGGCCATTCTACCATCCGGCCCCAAGCAGCGTCCTGGGGGCCTCAGGTCCTGTGTGGGAGCTTGGGATTGGCGCTCTGCCGCTTCTGGAGAAAGCCAGGGGTCAGAGCTCGGTGACTTCTGCGTTTGGTTACTGTTGTGTGTTTTTATTTTATTTATTTAAAATATATTTTTATTGATTTCAGAGAGGAAGGGAGTGATGGAGACATCATTGATGGGAGACATCATTGATGGGCTGCCTCCTGCACACCCCCTACTGGGGATGGAGCCTTCAACCCAGGCCTGTGCCCTGACTGGAATTGAGTGCGGGACCTCTCAGTCCAAGGCCAATGCTCTATGCACTGAGCCAAACCAGCTAGGGCCTGTTGTGTGTTTTTTAAATCCACTTGATGTATATCATCACCCAAGGATGTTTTTGCACTGATTTTTAGAGAGAGTGGAAGAGAAAGGGAAAAACAGAAATAACGATGTGACAGATTGCCTCCTGCATGAGCCCTGACCAGGGCCGGGGCTGGGAAGGAGTCTGCAACCAAAGTACATGCCCTTGACTGGAATCAAAGCAGGATCCTTCGATCAGCAGGCCGACACTCTGTTACTGAGCCAAACCGGATAGGGCCTGGGGATATATGTTCATTGATTTTAGAGAAAGGGACAGAAGAAAGAGAGAAATATTGACATGAGGGAGAACATTGATCTGTTGCCTCCTGTGCGCACCTGGATGGGACCAAACTCACAACCTAGGTTTGTGCCCTGCCTGGGATTTCACCCCTCGACCTTTCCATGCCCGGGACGACACTCCAGCTGAGGGCCAGCGCTTGTTACTCTTTTTTTTTTAAAACACATTTTATTGATTTTTTTTTTTTCAGAGAGGAAGGGAAAGGGATATAGAGTTAGAAACATTGATAAGAGAGAAACATTGATCAGCTGCCTCCTGCACACCCCCCACCGGAGATGTGCCCACAACCAAGGTACATGCTCTTGACTGGAATCAAACCCAGGACCCCTCAGTCCGCAGACTGACGCTCTATCCACTTAGCCAAACCGGTTTCGGCGACACTTGTTACACTTCAAGTCTGTTCCGTTCAGCAACAGACCTGCTGTTGAGTACCCGCTGAAAGTGCTAAGGCCTTCGTAGGAGTTACAGAATAATCAGGAGCTCTCAAGTTTGCCATCTTATGGGAGAGCCAGCTGGGAAAACATGAAACAAGTAACACACGCAGGGGAGATAAAGTGACAGAAGGAGTTGTGAAAACGCTGGGAGGAGTTATGGAAGAAAGAAGTCAATGACATTTTCTGTGATCAATAGGTGCATTTGATTAGCTGCTCAGTCGTTGTGGGCTCCTCCTCACTTTGGCCTAAACCCTCCCCACCAAGTCTGCCTTCTCCATGTGCAGGTGTGGCCCCGCCTGACTGTACAGCCCACGAGTTAAGAATGGTTCTTCCATTTTGAAATAGTTGGGATGGGAGGAATACTATCGTGCTCACATGGTTGTATCAGATTCCTGTATCTGTCCATAAATGGTTGTTAGAACAGCCGTGCTCGTTCGTTTTGTCTGCTGTTGCTTTGCGCTCCAGTGAGAGTTGAGTAGCTGTGACAGAGACTGAATGGCTGCAAAGCCTAAATCATTCGTGATTTAGCCCTTTAAGGAAAAATTTGCTGGTCTCTGCTTTGTGATATTTTGGTAAATAAGCACTATGTGCCCTAGCTGGTTTGGCTTAGTGGATAGGTAGAATCTGTGGACTGAAAGGTCCCAGGTTCGATTCCAGTCAAGGGCACATGCCTCAGTTGTGGGCTCCATCCCCACTGGGAGGCAGCCAATCATTGATGTTTCTGTCTTCTCCTTTCCTTTCCTCTCTGAAATGAATAAAAACATAAAAAAAAAAAAAAATAGTAAGCACCATGCTAGCCATAGTGTTTTAAAATAAAGTTATAAAAAAATTCTGCCTGCCCTGACCAGTGTTCTCACTGGTTGGTGTCACCCGGTGTCACAGGTTCGAATCCCAGTCAGGAGCATTGTGTACCTGGTTGCAGGTTTGATTAAGTTGGGGAGTTTGCGGGAGGCAACCAATTGTGTCTCTTTCACATCGGTGTTTCTCTCTCCCTCTTTCCCTCCCTTCCACTCTCTTAAAAAAAAATCAATGGAAAAAAAAATTCCCTTTTGGGGCATCCAAGTTGATCATGAAGAAACAGTTTGGAGGCCATTTTTGAGGTATTTACAAAGAAATTCCCTTTTATTTCTGTTTCTAAAAATGTTATAGTAATCTTCCATCCACACCAAGTCCATGGACTTTTTTCCCCCGTGGGTTCCCCAGTTCTCTCCACCCACAACTTTGCTTATAAGTTTTTGTATATATTTTAAGCGAACTGTGTAAGAAAAAACTTGAGTTTGCCTCACAACTTGGGAAGTGCATGCTAATTTTGGAGACTTATTTATGGCACGGTCTCTCTCACTTTCAGATTATTTATGTAAACCCGAAGACAACATCTACAGTATTGATTTCACCCGCTTCAAAATTCGCGATTTGGAGACAGGGACAGTGCTGTTTGAGATTGCTAAGCCCTGTGTCTCAGGTAAGCCGCTGGCGGCCATGTCGCTGATAGTTGGAGCAGGAGACTTTGGGGTTGGCGTTGTTGTGTCTCGGACCCCAGCGTGGCCCTCCCTCTCCGTGACCTCCTCCTGAAGCCGGGCTGCGGGCCTGCTGGTGTGGCGCTGAGAGGAGAGGCGGTGTTTGCTGGTTGCCGTGTGCTGTCTGTTTATTCCAGCTCATGCAATCCTCACTCCGCTGGCAAGAGTCACTGTTCCCATTTTACAAATAAGGAAACTGAGGCCCAGAATTCCCAAGTGACTTTCCTAAAGTCTTGCGCTCCTTCACCTTCCACATCGCCTCCCCGTGGGAAAGGAATCGTGAAATGGAACTCGAATGAGAAAAGCTCACTTGAGCCTGAGTCTTAGGGACACTCTAGAAGGGTGATACTGCTGATTCCAGCCCCGGCCACGAGGCAGCTCACCTGGCTTCTCACTCTCTTCTTTAAACAGTCTCCTATTTCCCAGTAAGTCTTCGTTTGGATTTCAATCTGCACCATTTTCTGGATGAACAGAAAGCCCAGGCCTATGAACTCATCTCCTTGGGGTTCTTTAAATTAGCCTTGACTAGAGCTTCCTGTGCTGTGACACAGTTTCAGGGTGATTCATTTCTGGCTGGGGGACCACACTGCCTTTGGAGCGCAACATTGGAGATTTAGCGCCCTCTGGAGGTGGTTGTTAGAACACCAGCACAGATCCCTTCAGAGGATCTGCGCGGGCTGTGTAGTCTTCCTGCAAAGCTCTTCTCATCCTGCTTGCTACTCAGAAAGGGCCTGTAAATTTGGTGAGTCCAAAGACTTTCCTGAGAAAGTCCATCTCGGGCTAGTAGTCCATACTCAAGGTTAGAGTCTCACCCCTCCCAGTATGTTTTTGTGTCTCTGTGTTGGCTCTTTTCATTTTTTTTCTTTAACTCTTTATTATTTAAAGTATTAGTATGTCTCCCTTTCCCCCTATTGACCTCTCCCTGGCACTCCCACCCCCAGCACCCACCCAGTATGTTTTATGCTGCCATAGTCTGGTACTGATCAGGCACCTGAAGGCTCAAGCTTGTGGGCGCTAAGCTTGTTTGGGAGGGCCAGGGCCAGCTGGTTTCCTGGGCTGGGAGTCCACATCCCATACCACATGCCTTATACTGAGGATGTTTCTGGGATCCTGGGACTGACTGACTACTCACGTGTGCGGATTTGAACTGGGCTCAGAGTAGTCATTGCAGTGCAACACGGAGCGGCCTCAAGAACGTCAGCAGCAGACACTGCAGATAAACTTTGCTTTCCACCTCTCCAGCCTCTTCCTTTAAGGCTCTTGATTGACTCAGACCAGGCTCATCCTGAGACAGTTTCCTGTAGCAGCACTTACTCTGATAAGTTGGAATCTCTGAGATTTGGTCTGACTCTGTTTTTTGTTTTTCTGTTAATCCTCACCCAAGGATATTTTTTCCATTGATTCTAGAGAGTGGAAGGGAAGGGGGGAGGTAGGGAGGGAGGGAGGGAGACATCGATATGAGAGAGCCACATCAATTGGTTGCCTCCCATACCTGCCTGACTGAGGCAAGGAACCTGCAACCCAGGTACATGCCCTTGACCGTGAATTGAACCGGAGACTTTTCAGTGTGCGGGCCATCGCTCTAACCACTGGTCATGCTGGCCAAGGCTGGTCTGACTGGTGAGAGTCAGGCTAGAGAAGAGGTGGACCTCCAAGGGAGGCGGTGCTGAGATGATGTGCTCATGATGCTGTGTCCGCTTTCAGACCAAGAGGAGGAGGAGGAGGAGGCCGGTGGAGATGCGGACACCAGTGCAGGACGCTTTGTCCGCTATCAGTTCACACCAGCGTTTCTCCGCCTCCGGACAGTCGGGGCTACGTGAGTACCAGCCTTTCCGGGGAGGCCTCCGCTTGTTGGCAGAGCGCTCGGCGGGTTGGCTGCAGCGGTGGAGGGGACAGCGAGGGCTCACAGGTCTGTCTGGCAGGGTGGAGTTCTCCGTGGGAGACAAGCCTGTGCCAGACTTCCGGATGATCGAGCGGCACTACTTCCGGGAGTGCTTGCTGAAGACCTTCGACTTTGATTTTGGCTTCTGCATCCCCAGCAGCAGGAACACTTGTGAACACATCTACGAGTTTCCCCAGCTCTCTGAGGATGTCAGTACGTATCCCTGACTGCACAGCATTCTAGGTTTTGGGGGCAGAAGGAACAGCCCTGAGATCCATCTGGTCCAGTGCCCGCATTTTGCAGAGGAGGGAAGTGTGACAGGATGCAGCCATCTCTACTCATTTGACCTCAGGCTTCTCATTTCCTGCTGCTCCGATCTCACGTTTCAAACCGGACACTGCCCGCTTGGGAGGTTTAAAAACACAGCCCCACCCGTGCTGTGGGAAAGGGAGTGGCGGAGGGAGGTAAGAGGAGCCCATCACAATCCAGGCTCTGATGGACTCATCAGTGAAGCGCCTGTTAGTCATGGTTCCCACAGTTGCACTCCCCTCTCGGCACTCTCACTTTTCCCCTCACACAGCTAGATGTGAACCGGGGGCTAAATAGAACCGTAGTCTCAGGACTCCTCTTGCTCAGTCTCTGCAAGCAGAAGAGTGATTGGACAGACGGTTAGAGTAGAGCCATGGGGAGAGGGCGCGCACAGGTGTCAGGTTGGGAGCAGGAGGGGCGCGGCGGAAGCAGTGTTTTCGGAAGAGAATCCTGTAGTTGTGTGGAGGAGCAACTGGGAAGGCCCCGGAGAGAGGGGCCGAGGCAAGAGAGGAGGTGGACTTCCGAGCGGAAGAACAGGCCTTTTCCGTTTCTGTGACTTTGGTCTACCTCGCAGGTTCGCCGCCTCTGTTAGAAAATAGAGAAAATGTTCCTGGAACAATGAGGGTGTGCGTGGGGTCCTGTGAATAGTGGGGTTTAGTTGGTAGGTGTGGAAGGATCTACATATATGGACTGGTTTTCTCAGAATCTGAAGGTGCTTAAAACTGTCATTCTGACGGCTAGGTACTCTACTCGTTTGGTGGTGCTGTTTGGGGGGGGGGGGGGGGGGCGGGGAGGACTGCTGGGGTGTGAGCGGGGTCAGGACAGCCTCTGATCCTGTTTGAACCTGCTCCCTCAGATGGCCTGGATCCATAGCTCCTTGTGAGAGATATTATGTAGCATTTCAAGGTTTTTTGTTTGTTTGTTTGTTTGTTTTTTTGCATTTCAAGTTTTTACCATGACTTTTCTTCTTGAGTCAACAAGCGGGAAGTGTGGAGGCCAGATTCTGCACATAAGCCAAGGAGCTCAGGTCGGGTGGGTCCAAAGAGACGCACCCAGTCAGCGTTATCTGTTTAGCACACTTCCTCCCAAAGACTCATTACCTCCGGGCTGGCAGGAGTGACTGTGTGACAGCTCACCTCAGCCTGGTAAGGGGGTCTGGGCAGCTGCCTAAACAAGATTGAGGTCTGGATCCCAGGACAGACACACCTTTGGCTCATCATTTCCAGGCTAACACTGAGCCTCTGGAATGGGCTCCTTGCCCTCCGCGTCCCTGCACTCATGTCACCTAGGGTTTCTCTGGTTGCCAGGGGGGCCCGTGGCGGGCCTCAGGAGGCACAGCTTTTTGTATTCGGACCAGAATGTCTAGGGGAGCAGAGAGGTGCTGAGTAAATAATTGCTGGGGTCCATGTGGGCAGGAGGGTAGGCACGTTCTCCTGGGCGGACCCAGAATCAGGCCAGGTGGCCAGGCAGGGCCTGTCGGCGAGTTGAGTGCATCATATGTGCAGTGGGTCTCAGTTCCGTTTTGAGGCCTCTGTGGGCTCCAGTTCTCCCTTCTCAAGGGCTGGCCCCCCCTTTCCGACCTCATTATTCTGGGAGAGTGCTCATATTTTCCGGAAGGACCGGTTTATGCATTGTCTCGGGATGCTAAGCTTTTTCACCTGACTCATGGGCAGACTCACACATTAAGTCTGTTTTGCTTTCCCTCACTTGCAGTTCGTCTGATGATTGAAAATCCCTACGAGACCCGTTCTGACAGCTTCTACTTTGTTGACAACAAGCTGATAATGCACAACAAGGCCGACTATGCCTATAACGGAGGCCAGTAATGCCGTGGGACTGGACAGGGAGTGCTCGGCTGCCGCCATGGTCCTGGCACCTGGAAGGTTAAAACTGCCGGATGTCATGCCTGGGACCTGGCCCAGGAAGCCACGGCTGGGGGCAGTTTTCGGTGCTTCGAGAGAGGTGCCAAGCAGTGCTGTGTTCCTTCCCCAGTATTTCCTCTTCCCTCTTTCCCTGCCCTTAGGTCAGAGGTACTATATAGTGAAGATTAGGATAAGGTTCCTCACGTCCAGATTAAAAAAGAAAGATTATTTTCATGTAGTCATAGCTGCCTAGTGGTTGTCCTGACGAGCCTGGGTCTTTGGCAGGGCTGTGCCCAGGTGAGGAGGCTCTGCCCCGTGCAGGTCCTGGGTGCTGTGAGAAGCGAGGCCAGCCTCTGCCGGCATCTCCTGTTTCCGAGGTTGCCGTCGGCGCAGTGGGACCTCAGCCTGTGCAGTTATAACCCAAATGGGAAGAAACTTGAAAGGGGGTGGAGGGGAGGAACGGCGCCTTGAGGCCCGAGGGCCGGTAAGGCTGCCACACTGGAGAGGCCGCTTACCTGTCTACCTGCAAGGTCCCAGGCAGTCCCCCCGGGCCGCACGGGGTCAGCTGGCAGTGCCGTCTGCCCTCATCCTGGCGGGGAGAGGAGCTTGCCCTGCTGCTGGCTCCTGACTGGGGACCTCCTGAAACGGAAGGGTTTCACTTTGGAAGTCATCTCCCCTGGGGCAGAGCAGGCCTCTTTGGGAGGTCGTGTGAAATGTCAGTGTGACATGCGGTTAGCCTTCTGCCAGCACAGCTCAGGCCGGCGCTCTGGCTCAGGTTGAGGCTGTGCAGTCCCTCACTGGCAGCCGCTCAGGCCGCACTGGTTTCCGCTCCGTGTAGCCCGGAGGCCTGGCTCTGGGCCGGGTTTGCCTCTAAAACTCTGCGGTCTTACTGAGGGTTTTCTGTCTGCTTTTCTGCTGCCATTGTTTCTGGAACCATCGGGCAGGTCAGAGCTAAGCAATGCAGATCTGGTCCTTGGAATCTTTGGGTGTTTGGCCTGTGCCAGAGATGTGTGCTCAGAAAAGCTTCCTTGCCCGTCCTGCTACTTCGATCCTCAGGCCTTTGATGGACTTGCCTCCTCCGCTCCTGTGGCAGTCTGGCGTGGTGACGCTAGGTGCTATAAGACGGCTGCTGTGGCCAGGCTGCAGCACTGATGGCAGGCGCTGTAGGGAGGGCCAGGTATGTGTAACAGTCACTGTCACCGACAGTGACTGACAGGAGAGCTGTTTCCCATGCACTGGGGAGGAAGGCTGAGGGCCAGGGAAGGGAGCCGCACTGGGCCACAGCAGCTCCTGTGTGTTCATGGACCGGTGTGGCTCCTGTTTGGATTCTGAAGCGTGAGCGGTCTTGAGCCTCGGCCTGGTGCTATATACCAGGCCAGAGTCTGGGCTGTGCCAGATGCTGATGCTTTCTCACGAGAAAGCCCTGGGTTAGCCTTGTGTGCCAGCACCGGGTCCGACCAATGAGGGAAGGGAGGCCCAGCACCTGCAGACCCGGAGTCTCAGCCCCGGAGCGGATACAAACCCAGGTGCCTTATGGGGGCTCTGCCCCCCACGCTGCTGGGGAGGCTGCCGCGCCCCCGCCCCCCATCCGCCCGCCCGCAGGCAGACGGCAGCTCTGCCGCTTGCCCTCATCGTGGCTCCGCTAGCACCTCGCGCCTGTCGAGCTCCAGAAGCCCCGTCTGTGACGACCCGATCAGGAGGGTTCCTCCCATTTGACGTTTGGTTTGCATCAGGAGTGTTTCTGGAGTGCCTGGAGTTCTGCTCAGTAGAGGGTGCCTTGGAAACGTGGCCCAGGGCAGACTGGTTTGTGTGCGACGGGCTCTTAGCTGCACACAGTGAGCTCTGCGCGGACGAAGGCCAGCACAGAGGGCAGGCACTCAGGCAGGGAGCGCGGCGTCCTCTCCCCACCAGCTTGCCTTAGTCTCCCTGGAGACCACTTTGAGGCCAAGCGCTCACACTGCCCAGTAGGACAGGGTTGGCTGTCCTCTGTGCCCAGAGTCTGGTGCTCTGTACCTGAGACTGGTTTCTTGGGCCCCCTGCTCAGGGAATCTTGGGAAGCATCACCACTCTGGATTAACCAGGGTGAGTTTGTAGTTCAAGTTTTTGTTCCTGAATTGGGCAGAGAATTGGAAGTCATACTTTCTCTGAAAGTATCAAAAGTTGAATCAGGGCTGGAGGCCAACGCTAGTGAGGAACCTGGGCTGTTGGTGCAGTTATCTGTGGGTAATACAATGGGAGGAAAACGGCCCTGCAGCCTGGCTGGTAGGTTCAGTGGGTAGAGCGTTGGCCCAAGGACTGAAGGGTTCCGGATTCAATTTCAGTCCAGGGCATGTACCTCAGTGGCAGGTTTGATCCCCAGCCCAGGCCTGGTCTCAGGGCATGTGCAGAAGGCAACCAGTTGATTAGTCTCTCTCATATCAATACTTCTCTCTGTGTCTCTCCCCCTCCCTTCCACACTCTCTAAAAATCAATGGGGGGAAATATGCTTGGGAGAGGAATTAACAACAACAAAAGAGCCCCCGCATGCTCTCTCCGGAGCTGGCAGTGGGGAGACAGCTCCTGGAGGAGACCTCCTTGGCTGGCGGCCCGCCTGGTGGCATGGGGCCCGTTGCCTCTCCTGTCCTGCTCTTGTCCCTCTGCCTTAATCTCCCGGAGAGAGCCTCTCTCTTCCCTGAAGCCTTTGGGCGCAGATGCACTTCTAGCTTCTCCAAAGAAGACCCTGCTTTGTTGTAGTCTGTGCTCCGAGGAACTGGCTCTGGCTGCCCTCTCCTTCACAGTTAGCGCAGTTACCGTGCAGAGAAGGCCGTTTTAGGGGCCGTAGGACTTCCTGAAGACACGGTGTCTTTGGGCATCTGATTCCCAAGTAAGGGCAGGACTTTGGAATGTTGGGTCTGACCACAGACTGGCGATCCTTGAAATGGCAGGGACTGGGGAATCTTCAGCCTGTTTTTTCAGTTGAAAGTGGAACTCATTTGTGAGAGGACATCCCTAGGCTGTGTCTAATGCACAAACAAGGCGAGTCCCGCCTTAGTGTGTCCTGCCAGCTGGGGCTCCCGGGTGCTCTCCTTCTGGTGGGCCTGGGGATTGTGCTAGAAATCACGCACAGACGCCGTGAGATTCCTGACAGGGTGCCAGGAGCCGTCACGTTATATTCCCAGGGGGCCTGGCGGAGGTGGGCTTGCTGCTTTACAAGGTCATGTAGTCATTGACGTGGGAAAGTCTGCTTTCCCCGGTAAACCTGTTTTTCACAGAATACAAGCAACATCAGTGACCTGATGTGTCCTTCCTCCTCTTACCTTCACTTGAGACCCTCATTCCAGTTTTATTTTTTTCTGTTTTGCAAATTGTTTTATAACCACAACAGGTGAGGACAGAGAATGCCCTGTTTGAAACATCACAATAAAGGTTCAAGATCAAGGTGTTCCTTGAGGCAAGGCTGAAGACTCCCAGTCTCTGGTATTTGGAATTTAGGCTGCAATCCTTATTTTTGGGTGGATCACTGGGTGTGTGGGACAGTCCATGCTTTTAACCGGATTTGAACAGAAGAATGGCCACTTGGCCCAGGTAGAGGTAGATGAAGTGTTTGGTTTCACGTGTCATGTAACTACCGAAGTTCCTCCCCACAATGCAGTGTGGGGGAGAAGGGGGGTCATACTTCACGTCAAAAAATTTTTTTTCAAATTACAAGAGAAAGTAGAAGTGAGCCATCTGAAACAAGTTACAGAGGCAGAGGGTCCTTGGAGCTTAGGAGGAAAGGCCAAGGTAACGGCCGGGAGGGGCGGAAAGGGGAGGGAAAGGCACCGCGGGCTCCTGAGGGAGGGCGAGCCTCCGCTCCTCCTCGCCGCGGCCAGGGTCCTCCATGTATGTCCCAGCACGTCCGTCCCGGCCGTCCCCTGCGGCTCCTCCGCACGGCGTGTGCACGGCGTGTTGGTCACCGCCTTTCTGTGGCACACATGACAGCGGAGCAGGGGCTGGCCCTGGCAACGGCCTCCTGGGGAGGGGCTGGCACATCTCCCCCATTCCAGTTTTTATTGTCTTTGTGTCCAAAGTAAACTACATGACTAATTTGTATAAAGTGTTATTTTGCCACAAGAGACAGAAATAAAGATTTTCACAGTATATGTACCCTCTTGTCTCCTGGCTGCGTTCCTTGTGTTCTGGCGGGAGCAGGTATGGGGTGGGGTGGCCGTTCTGTAAACAGTTTGAGCATAGCTGGTGTCTAGGATGGTTGAGGAACCGTATTGGCTTTAGGTTGAATATTTTTGCTTTATTTTGTTGGGGGCCTTTAAGAAGTAAAAATTTATATACACATTTAAAAGTGAAGGTGTGCTTTAACTAGAGTAAAAGCCACCTCGTTTAGGAGTACAATTTGATACAGGGCATTCCCATCGCCCCAAAAAGTGCCCTCCAGTTTCTGGTGTTTGTGGCCAGCTCTCTCCTTCCACTCCAGCCCCTTGCAACCATGTTTGATTTCTGTCTCTGTTGTAAAAACAGTACACATTTAATATAAATTGTATACCCATGTTCGTCATTGATGTTTCTATCTCCCTTTCCCTTCCTCTCTGAAAAAAATTTTTTTTTTAAGTCTGGTTTAGATGGTCTGGGACACCTGAAGCAATCATTGGCCTCTGTCCACGAACAGCACCCACTTATTATTTTTGTTTTTAATTTATTATTTAATATATTGATTGTTTTGCCCTCCTCCCTTCCCAGAGTTTTATGTCCATTGGTTGTACTTATATGCATGTACACAAGTCCTTCGGTTGATCTATTATCTCCCCCAGATCTTCTTCCCCTCCCCACTGTAATTTGACAGTCTGCCTGTTGCTTTACTGTCTCTATATCTGTCTCTTGGTTCATCAGCTTATAATGATCTTTATCATCCACAAATGAGTGAGGTCATGTGGTGTTTCTCTTTCATTGAGAACAGCACCCACTTATTCCTCCTCCATGTTCCTGCTTTTCCTCCACACAGGGCTGGGGGGCGGGGGGCGGGGGGAGTGGGAAGGTGAGGAAGACCTCAGCATTTGCCAAAGGCAGTCCTGCATTTGGTCCTGGGAGCTTAGGAGAGAAAGGCCAAGGTAATGGCTTCTGTAGACAGCACCTGGGAAGGCACTGGGGCATTTCTTTAATTATTATCAGCTGAACTCAGGGCGAAAGGCAGAGCCACACCCTGGGAACATGTTTCCCCAAAAGGCAGACAGGTTATCAGTACTGACTTTTACCTTTGTCCAGGGAAGGCGTTGATATACAAATCCATTCAAACACCAGGAATGCTCAGGCCTACTCTAGAATGCAAATAAGCTCCTTTGATCCTAAGTTTTGGTGATACTTCCTGGTATTTTGGGATATATAAATAAATGCACTGCTTGGTATATAAATATATAAATATATTTAATATATAACTAAATCGCCTGTCCCTGCCTCTCCATCAGAGGTAGCAGCAGTTCCACCCCCCATCTTTATAAATCTATCTCTGTCTTTTTTCTATTTTTCTTTATTTCTCAATTCCTGACTGCCTCCACTTTGAACCGGTTCGTTCTCTCTTTCCGTGCAGGACGCAGAAAAGGGAGATCCCCGCCATATCTGGCCCCCGCCGTATCAGGCCCCCACAGCTTCGGGAGAAGAGGGAGCAGCGGAGGCTGTGGGCTAGGGCTTGCTTTTAAATTGAAGATTTCTCTTTAAGTGGAAGGTAACATATTAAGGACTTTGCTGTAACTTTTGATTGATCTTTAGGAATTAGAGCAGGTCTTGGCAGAAGACAAAAAAATGAAAAAATAAACAATAGAGGCCCTGGCCAGGGGGTTCAGTTGGTTGGACCACCACCAAACGGTTGCAGATTCACTTCCTAATCAGGGCACATACCAGGTTGTGGGTTCAATCTCCAGTCAGGTTATGTACAGAAGGCAACTGGTCATCTCTCACATTGATGTTTCTCTGTCAAAGCAATAAGAACATATCCTCAGGTGAGGATTTAAAATAACCCTATATAGCCGAAACCAGTTTGGCTCAGTAGAGAGCGTCAGCCTGCGGTCTGAAAGGTCCCGGGTTCGATTCTGGTCAAGGGCATGTACTTTGGTTGCGGGCACATCCCCAGTGGAGGGGTGCAAGAGGCAGCTGATGGATGATTCCATCAATGTTTCTAACTATCCCTCTCTCTTCCTCTCTGTAAAAATCAATAAAATATATTTTTAGAAAAATAAAATAACCCTCTATAATATCCTGTATAATAAAAGCCTAATATGCTAAGTGTCTGGTCATCTCTTCAACCAATTTAAGTTTAATATGCTATTGATGCCGATACCGGTTTGGCTCAGTGGTAGAGTGTCGGTCTGCGGACTGAAAGGTCCCGGGTTCGATTCCAGTCAAGGGTACGTACCTTGGTTGCGGGCACATCCCCAGTAGGGGGTGTGCAAGAGGCAACTGGTCAATGTTTCTCTCTCATCGACGTTTCTAGCTCTCTCTCTCTCCCTTTCTCTCTTTAAAAAATAAAATTCAAAAAAAATAATAATAAAAACAACTGTTTAATATGCTATTGATATGCTAAGGCAGCTCAACTGCTTGCTATGATGTGCACTGATCACCTGGGGCAGGTGCTGAGACCAGTAGGTTAGCTTGCTGCTGCTGTCTGGCTGATCAGAACTGAGTGAGACAGACTGGACCTGCCCTGGAGCCCTCCCACAGCCACTACCCCCAGCTGACCCATTCTATGGGCCCTCATCAGGATGAGCCTGCCAGATCCCACCCATGCACAAATTCATGTACCAAGCCTCTAGTAATCTGCAATAATAAAAGTAATATGCAAATTGACCATACCTTCACAATGCCCACTAGCCAATCAGGAGTGAGTATGCAAATTAACCCAACAAAGATGTGCATATGCAGGCATGGAGCAAAGATTGAAGACTCACGATGACTGAAGCTGAAACCAGTCGTTGGCCTGCAGACTGAAAAGTCCCAGGTTCGATTCCAGTCAAGGGCATGTACCTTGGTTGTGGGCACATCCCCAGTAGGGGGTGTGCAGGAGGCAGTTAATTGATGTTTCTCTATCATCAATGTTTCTAACTCTCCCTCTCTCTTCCTTTCTGTAAAAAATCAATAAAATATATATTTTTTAAAAACACCCCTCATGATTTTTGTCTTTTTTTAAAAAGACGACTGAAGACTGAAGAGACTTGGCTTCGCTTCAGCCTCTGCAGAGACACTGCAACCAGAGTGGAAAAGCCTAGCCTCAAGGCTTGGCTTCTCTGATGTGGCCCGAGTGAAGGCCTGGGTCCTGAGTTTCAGAGGAAAACCGGTGCCAGCAGCCAGGGAAAGGAAGCCTATCGCATGAATCTGTGCAACGGGCCTCTAGTTAACCTGTTAACCAAGCGGGACGTATAAATACGTCAAACATAAACCATATCAGGAATGGGTAGGACGTATGAATACGTCCTGGAAATATATATTGCGCCCTGAGAGGGACGGTATTTATTTTTTGTAATCTTTATAATTGTTTGTAAAATTTATAATTTTTTAATTCAATGTTTCCATTTTTTTGTTGGTATTCTTTTCTATTTGTTTGTAATTTTGTATTTTCCTTTGTGCTTTATATATAAACAAAAAATATATATTTCATTTATTTTAATTAAGTATAAATAAAAAATAATAATATAAAATTATGTCCACTGGGCGTGACGTACTGAGACATCCTAGTGAAAGAGTATGCGCCCGTTGTACATTGCATAATTAAAAAGGGAACTCTCCAGTTAATTAATAAAGAACAGAAATTTACTTCCCAGTTATAGAGGGGGTGGGAAGACCAAGATCAAGGTGCCATCAAATCTGGTGTCTTCCTGCTGTCCTTGCAGCAGAAGGGCCGGAAGACCAGTTCTGGCCTGCAGGTCAGTGCTGGGGAAGGCGCCTGGCTGAGGGGGAGAAAGGCAGCTGGAGGCATGTGTGGTGCCTGGGAGGGTGTGGCAGTCTGGCTGTCACTCGTGCCTCGGGCAGGCGACGGGTGTCCAGAGGGGGGATGCTAAGGGCCAAATGCATGGCCTCAGGGCAGCCCCCTCCCCCCCTGGGACTGCCCCACTATTGGGAGAAGGGTGACAAAGGTGCTGGCAGTGACGCCCCACCATCGCACCTTCACAACCTGCGGGGGAAGGAAAGCTCCCTCTCAGCAACCCCAGGCCCAGCTAGTGAGCATCAGAGCACAGACCCTTTGACTCGTGGGGTTCGCAGACTATTCAGCGGGGACTTGGTGAGAATTCAGATGCTAGCGAAACCGGTTTGGCTCAGTGGATAGAGCGTCTGCCTGCAGACTGAAAGGTCCCGGTTTGATTCCGGTCAAGGGCATGTACCTTGGTTGTGGGCACATCCCCAGTTGGGGTGTGTGTGTGTGTGTGTGTAAGAGGCAGCTGGTCGATGACTCTCTCATCGACGTTTCTAACTATCTTAATTCCTCTCTGTGTAAAATCAATAAAATATATTAAAAAAAAAAGAATTCAGATGCTACGTGTCACGAATTAATAAACCAGGGGGTGGAGAGTTTGCAGGAGAAACGGTGGCCTCGGGCGGCGGGCGGGGCCGTGGTGAGACCCGTGTGAAGAGGGGCAGCCTGGGGTCCAGCTAGCGGGGAGAAGGAGGCGGATCGCAAAGGCGGCCCGGGGTGGCGGCGAGGCGGGGTCCTGACAGCCGGTTCCCCGCCGCAGGGGTCCGGCCGCTTTCCACGAGCTGGAGGAGGACAGGCGGGTCCCCGCCCGGACCGCCGGCGGCGGAACCTGAGGGAGGAGGACGTCACAGAGGCGGGAGCGGCCTCCCCGCCCAGGAGGGCGGAGCGCGGGGCCCCGCCTCCAGGGCGGGACACTGGTCGCAGCCCCGACCCCGCAGCCGGAACCCAGGCCGCGGATGGTGGAGGAGCAGCCCCGGCCCGTCTCCGTCTCCGACTCCGTCTCATGGCCGCCGCCGCGATGCTCGCCCGGGCCTGCGGGCCGGTGCGCTGGGGTGAGTGCTGCCGCCGCGGCCGGGCTGGCGGGTCCCCGCGGCCGTGACCTTTGCCCCAGTTAGGCGCCCCTGCGCCTGCGCGGCCGGGCCTCCGACTGCTCCGCCGCCCCCCCCCCCCCCCCCGGCCGCACGCCGCCCCCCCGCCTCCCCGGGACGCACGCCATCCCCCCCGCCCCCCCGGGCCGCACGCCGCCCCCCCGCCCCCCCGGGCCGCACGCCGCCCCCCCGCCCCCCCGGGCCGCACGCCGCCCCCCCGGGCCGCACGCCGCCCCCCGCCCCCCCCGGGCCGCACGCCGCCCCCTCCTCCGGCTCCCGGCGCCCGGAGGGGCCCACAGGGCGCCTGTGACCTTGGACCGGCCCGCCGCCGGCCTCGGTTGCCCCGGGTGCCCGGACGCCACGGGGGGAGCTGTCCTCCTGGGTCGAAAGGACGAAACCGCAGGCGTGGGGAGCAGCCCGGCCGCCTGTGACATGTGCTGGGCGCTTCCCTCTCCCCAGCCGACCCTGCAGCCGGCTGGGCTGGCTGGGCTGCGGGGACACCCGGGGCGGCCAGACCCACGCCCCCTGCAGTAACAGTAAAGAGTGCCCGCTGGGGCTGCCCGCCAGGCCTTTGCTACAGTTAGTATCTTCCTTTTCCCCCTAAATGTTTCCAATTACATTACTTCTTTATTTTGTTTTTATTTTTTGGTTAATCCTCACTCAAGAATATTTTCCACTGATTTTTAGAGAGGGGGAAGGAGAGGGAGAGGTAGACAGAGAAACATCAGTGTGAGAGAGACCCGGGGACCCTTCAGTCTGAGGCGGACACTCTGTCCTCTGAGCCAAACCACAGGTAGGGCCAGTTAGTATCTTCTTAAATCTCTCTCTCTCTCCCCCCTACATATACATATGTGTTTTTAAAAATATATATTTTATTGATTTATATATCCCCTACTGGGGATGTGCCTGCAACTGAATTTATACCCGGGACCCTTCAGTCCGCAGACCAAAGCTCTACCATTGAGCCAAACCTGTTTCAGCTACATATGTGTTTTTATTGATTTCAGAGAGGAAGGGAGAGGGAGAGAGAGAGAAATATCAACGATGAGAAAATATCCATCTGTTTCCTCCTGCACCCCCCACACTGGGGATAGAGCCTGCAATCCAGGCTTGTGCCCTAACTGGCAATCAAAGCGTGACCTCCTGGTTCATAGGTCACTGAGCCAGCGGGGCAGAATCTTCTTAATCCTCTTTTCCCCAGATGCTCAATACCTTTGTCTCCCAGATTGAGTATTAGCTGAGGCTCAGTGAAGTTAAGATCCTTTAACTTCAACAGAGCTGTGCTCTTATTGTTGGCATTATTACTATTAATTATTATTATTGTTGGCATTACCTGAGGATTGAGTAGGATAGTCTGTGCAGATGTTTAGAAAAGATTGAGGTCATAGTTCAATTCCCAGTGTGGGGCGTGCAAGAGGCAGCCGATCAATGATTCTCTCTCATCATTGATGCTTCTATCTTTCCCTCTCCCTTCCTCTCTGAAATCAATAAAAATATACTTTAAAAAAGAGCATTATAAGCAGTTATTTGGGTCCTCATAGCAGCACTTTGACGTTTTGGGCGGATACCCCTTGTTGTGGGGACTGGCCTGTGCATTGTGGGGTGCTAGCAGCATCCCTGGTCTCGCCTCCCTCCACCCCATTCAGCTGTGACAGCCACAGTCCCTGCACACAATCCCCATGTCCCCGGGGCAGCACCATCCCCAGGGGGGCCTCGGCGTTAACCAGACCCGCACCCCCTCCCACCCCGCCTCTGCGGCAGCTCTCCGCCGGCAGTTACACACCGTGTACCAGTCCGTGGAGCTGCCCGAGACGCACCAGATGCTGCGCCAGACGTGCCGGGACTTTGCCGAGAAGGAGCTGTTCCCCATCGCGGCCGAGATCGACAAGGAGCACCGCTTCCCGGCGGCTCAGGTAGCGCCCCGCAGCCGGGTGGGTGGCGACGGTGACAGCCGTGAAGGGAGGCTCTGGTCAGGGGGCCTGAGGCGGGTCTGGGACCCAGAGACGCTCTGGAAGCTTCCCTGCTCAGCAGGGGCCTGTGGCCGGAGAACAGCCACGGCGGTGGGTGTTTACCGTGCAGCGGCCTGGGTTAATAATAATTAATAATAATTAGTAACAATGCCCAGAGCGAGCTTCCTGGCCCCGGCGTGGGAAGCTCGGCTCCTCTTCCTCACCGAGTCCTGTGCGCGGCTGCCTGTGCAGCCGATGGGACAGCGGTGAGAGGGTTAAGCTGCGGCGCCCTCCGTGACCGCCCCGCACGCACTCAGTGGGGCGGGCGTGGTTCTAGGATCACTCACCGCCGAATGGAAACGCCCGCTCTTCCCGCTTCACTCCTCCATCCGGGAGAGGAGAGGGCCGGGAGCGCACTCAGTCCGCCCTCTGGGCAGGGAGAGACCTTAATCGCAGCAGCAGGGGGACCGGTGGCACCGCGCTGCCTGAGCACGGAGAGGACGGTGTGGGAGAGTGGGTGACAGCCCAAGCGCTGAGGACTGAGGGGGAGGAGATGATACCTGGAGAGAGGTCATTTCTCCGGGCCGTGTGCCAGGCCCTGTGGAGGGGGTGGGATGGGGGTGTATGTGGAGGGGGTGTGGAGAGGTGTGGTGGGGGGTGTGTGGAGGGGAGGGGTGTGTGGAGGGGGTGTGGTGGTGGGGGGTGTGGAGGGGAGGGGTGTGTGGAGGTGTGTGTGGAGGGGTGTGGTGGTGGGGGTGTGTGGAGGGGGTGTGGAGAGGTGTGGTGGGGGGTGTGTGTGGAGGGGAGGGGTGTGTGGTAGGGGGTGTGTGGGTGTGTGGTGCAGGTGTGGTGGGAAGGGGGTGTGGTGGGGGTGTGGTGGTGGGGGTTTGATGGGGGATGTGGTGGGGGTGTGGAGGGGAGGGGGATGTGGTGGGGGCTGTGGAGGGGAGGGGTGTGTGGTAGGGGGTGTGTGGGTGTGTGTGGTGCAGGTGTGGTGGAAAGGGGGTGTGGTGGGGAGTGTGGGGGTGTGTGATGGGGTGTGTGGTAGGGGTGTTGTGGTGGGGATGTGGTGGGAAGGGGGTGTGGGGGTGTGGTGGTGGAGGTTTGATAGGGGATGTGGTGGGGGGTGAAGGGGAGGGGTGTGTGGTGGGGGGTGTGATGGGGTGTGTGGTGGGGAGGGGGGTGTGGTGGGGTGTGATTGGGTGTGTGGTGTGGTGGGGTGTGGTGGGAAGGGGGTGTGTGGTGGGGGGTGTGGAGGGGAGGGGTGTGTAGTGGGGGTGTGGGGGGAGGGGTGTGTGGTAGGGGGTGTGTGGTGCAGGTGTGGTGGGAAGGGGGTGTGGTGGGGGTGTGGTGGTGGGGGTTTGATGGGGGGTGAAGGGGAGGGGTATGTGGTGGGGGTGTGATGGGGTGTGGTGGGGAGGGGGGTGTGGTGGGGTGTGATTGGGTGTGTGGTGTGGT